GATGTAAAACCAACATCTCAAAAGCCTGGCAGAAGAAAATTTGGAGTTCTAAAGAGCCATACGGTCAGGAGGCCACAGTTTATTATTGAAGCAAGTATCCTGTTGTGATATATAAAATGTAGCAGCTAGAAGCGACTTACGAAGTGCTGGTCGATCAATCGTAGGTTGAGTAAGTATCAGAGAAATGCTTCCAATGTATGACACAGCTGAGATGGGGAGAGAGGAAAGAAACTGCCCAGAAAACAGAAAAAAATAAAAAGGATTCGGGAGTGGCAGTGATTCGACAGTAAAAAAAGCCTTGGAATTAGAATAACTAGCCTTGAAAAAAGGAGGAGAGAATTGTCTTTCCTCATTTAAAAAAAAAAAAATCTTAATATTAAAAAAGGCAATTTCGGTTCCCGTCGCTCCCTTCTCCGATACCCACGCCGCCTCCTCCGCAGCGCAGCTGGCAGGGGGAGTCCTGGACTCCGGGCTCCCCGCGGGGCCAGGTGCTGCTCATTGAGATGTGGCCTCGCTCTGAGCGCAGGAAGGGGGACGGCACCAGGTGGACGCGCTGCAGAGCACCTTGGGCTCGGGCTTGGCCTCAGGTGTAGCTAGTTCGATCATGAGGAGAACGCCAATATTAAGAAGGAGCGATGCGTCAGACCTGGCAGCAGGTTCAAGCCCAACTTCACACGCTTGGGGAAGTGCGCGCTGAAGGGCAGCGCAGGCGCTGCCTCTCTTCCTCTTCCTGCGGGAAGTTCTGCCCGCACACTCTGCGCTCCTGAAGGAACCCAAGTTCACCACCGGGTCTCAGGTACGCCGCAATGCCATCGCCTGGAACTTCCAGAAGTTCCTGGTGGTCCTGTGCGTGGGTACAGCCGCTGCTGCCGACCACTGATGTGGAAACCCTGCTGACCAAGGGGCTCAGCAGAGCCTAAGGTGCCTAGAGCCATCCCCCTACTCTCCTCCCTCCCCCACCCTCCCTCAGCCCCGTACTCCCACCATCCCAGCCCTCCTGCTTGGCAGTCATAGTGCTGCCCTGTGAGGGGTTTATCCATGACAGTGTTTTCCGCTAAACCTGAATGGAGGAATGCCTGATGTCCAGCTAAATCCCGCTGCCTCCACCCCCATGGGCCCTGGTCCTGTCCATCCCAGCCTTCCCTGCTACACCTTGGCTTTTCAAACTGTCGTGTGTGTGTGTGTGTGTGGGGGGGGGGGGGGGCAATCTCAGTACTTACAGGCATTTTATAAATGAATTCATTGGATGGTTTCGCTGGTGTCCTCACTCATGTATCTATTCATTCAGAAAATGTTTATGGAGCACCTATGAATGCTGCCTGCATACCCGACATGATGTTAGTAAAGGGAATTCCAAGGAAAGTGAGATGTGGCTTCCAGTGGGGATGATGGGCACCTGCACAAATGACTGCAATTGGGTGCAAGGAGTAGCCATGTGGTCAAATGGGATAGGAGACTGGCACTGAATTAGATGCTTAAGGGGGGACACTTGGAGGTAGCATTTCAGGGTTTTAGCATGGCAGTGAGGTCATCAAAGTTGTAAAGGAGGGAGGCCTGGGAACATATGGAAGACTTGGTGGCTTGGGGGAGGGACGGTATGTGGTATTCATCAAGTGGCCGCAGGGATCATGAAGCAGAAGAAGCTAAGAGTTCCACTCTGTGTCCTGGGCCAGATTATCTTCTCTGAGAAATGCTGATGGGGGCTGTTTGACGTTGTACAAAAGCTGTGGCCGTTGCTTGCACTATGGTTCTCTACTAACCTGCCATAAATGTGTGCACGTACAACAGGAAAGTACCCTGTTTCCCCGAAAATAAGACAGTGTCATATATTTTTGCTCCCAAAGATGCTCTAGGTCTTATTTTCAGGGGATGTCTTATTTTTCCATGAAGAATACGGTACACATTTATTGTTAAATGAAAATAAAGGAAATTTATTACCTGTATACGGTACGGTAGCACGGTAGTTGTCAACACAAACCAGACAAACTGTGAATCCTACAGTATCAATAATTTACTCATTTATTCAATGACAATCATGTCATCATCTTCTGGAACATCATCATAACAATCCAATTCCTGATTTTCCTGGTGAATTTCTTGTGACTCCATTTCTTTCAGAATCAGTGGACCAAATCTCTCATGTTTAGCCTAGGGGGGTCTTATTTTGGGGGGGATGCCTTATATTTCACTCAGAAGGAAACCTGTAAGTAGGTGTTATTTTCAGAGGATGTCTTATTTTTGGGGAAACACGGTATCTACCTATTTGAGAATTGTTAAATAAATTACAGACTATGAAATGTGATTAAAGATATTAAGAAACATGGTGCCCAGCCAGTGTGGCTCAGTGGTTGAGTGTCTGTCTATGAACCAGGTGGTTTTGGTTTGATTCCACTCAGGGCACATGCCCAGTTGGGGCTCCATCCCAATGGGTGGTGTGCAGGAGGCAGTCAATAAGAGATTCTCTCTGATCCTTGAAGTTTCTATCTCTTTCCCTCTTTCTTCCTCTCTGAAATCAATAAAAAAAAATATGTTTGTTTCTTTGTTTGTTTGTTTAAGAAAGTGTTTATATATTTGGTTTAAGGTAGGGAAAATATGATCCAGAGTAAAGCAGCCGGGAAGGAGAGCAGTGAGAGAAAAGAGAAGAGACAAGAGAACCTCTCAGTTTTTATTCTTCGCTTTTCTATAGGGTTCAAATTTTACAACATCCATGGACTTTGTTTTATAACTTAAATAAGATGAAATAATGCCCACGCAGCTGTGAGCACAGGCTCTGCCATCTGGCCAGCAATGAGATTCAGATGACAAGAAAATAAGACTTGCACAAAATGATTTAAATCCATATACAGCATTACATTAATGGTTACAAATGTTTTCTCCCTCTGATAAAATGGAATAAGGTAAATATCAAATTATGGTCAATAGAGTTTAGATTAGGCATGTGTTCTGCTTAATCAGTCATTTATAATTTAATTATTCAAAGCTAACTTTGAAACAAGCAGCTTTATAAATCTAGATAACAACAGACTTTACTTAAGCACTAAAGATTTTCCATCAATCATTTTGTTTTTATCTTTACAGTATTAAACTTTAAAAATACTTAACATTCAGAGGTCATTTGTTGGCTATCATTGAACACCAAGGTCAAATATTTTCTTTTATTAAATTCCATCCCACAATAAATCGATAGGTATTTAGTAAATTGAGTTTCAGTTTAATTTCATGGAGCTTTTTATTTATGATGGATTTCAAATACACTATAAGTAGATCATATTAATTATATACACTTAGTCATTCTTGTTTTTATGTAAAATTATGAATAAATTGAAGTAAAAATCAAATTGTTTTTTGAAATGTACTGAGAACCTCTGTTAAAATTTTTCAGATGAGTTTCTTTGTAATTTAATGAATCACTTATAACGTAAGCTAACAAGCTAACATTTTCACATTTATCTTAAGGATAAATTGAGCCTTTCTGCGACTGGATAAAGACACTATTGTGTCAAAGAGATGATAAAACAAATTTTGATCAAGAATATCAAAACTTCAAAAGCTATTTCTTTTTTGTATGCTGATTGTATTGAAAAGTATCTTAGAACCTTTATTCTTTATTTTTACTGAGTTGACATATGGCAAAAATATTAATTTATTTTTTTTAATTAAATTTATTGGGGTGACATTGGTTAATAAAATTACACAGGTTTAAGGAGACTGGATTTGGGTGGTAAACACAAAACAATATACAGAAGACACATTGTAAAACTGTATACTGGAAAAATATTTTTCCTATAAAAAGAATATAAAATACCTATATTTTCTTAATTTTTAGACCCATATATATTTTAAAACTTCTAAAATATATTTAATATGGGAGTGTCCTTTACCCCCAGGTCCTGAGGAGCAGATTTAAATATATTGTGTCTTAGAATTGATGAACTTGTAGACTTTATATTAAAGTTATAGGACAAAATTGAGGTATGCCTCCAAGTGTTCAACTTCTAACAGCCCTCCAGCAGGAAAAAAAATGAAGAAGGGAAAAAAACAGCAAAATTGAATGATGTTTTTTACATAAATCATCACAAAATCTTGATTCTCTGGTCCATCCAGCTGAGGTAACTGGACACTCACAGAAAACTCGGTAACATTAGTAGTTCCATAGATTCCCACCCCCTTCTCTAAGTTAAGCTTTTTTATTTTGAGAGAATTATAGATTCACATGTAATTCAGATGTAAGAAATAATACAGGGAGATCCCTTGTACCTTTTATTCTGTTTCTCCAATGATAACGTTTTGGTAAAACTAGAGCACATTATCACAACTAGAATATTGATAGTAACACAATTCATCAAACTTATTTCAATTTTTTTAGTTTGACGTGTGTGTTTCTAGTGAGTTCTATGTCATTTGAGCACATGCGCAGGTACCTGTGTCTACTACCACAGTCAAGACAGACAACATTTCCAACACCACAAACGTACCTTGTGTTGCCCACTATAACCACACCCTCCTCCCGAGGACTTTTCACAGATTGGGATGGCAGTATATTTTCTAGCTATGTTTTGGGAAGTAACTGGTTTGTTCTTTTCCTCTTGTGAATGTCTGCAAGTAAATAATACAAAGAAGTATGCCAAAACCAGTTTGGCTCAGTGGTAGAGCATCGGTCTGTGGACTGAAAGGTCCCAGGTTCGATTCCGGTCAGGGGCATGTACGTTGGTTGCGGGCACATCCCCGGTTGGGGGTGTGCAGGAGGCAGCTGGTCGGTGTTTCTAGCTCTCTCTCTCTCTCTCCCTTCCTCTCTGTAAAAAAATCAATAAAAATATATTTTAAAATAATAATAATAATACAAAGAAGTGAAGGCTCAGTTTTCACCGTTCTTGAGTGTGCACCTTCCTGTTGCCTGGCAAAGAAACCAACAACCGGGCAAAGGGCTGCCTCAGGTGGGCAGCATTTCCAACTCTCTGGAGGAACAGAACCAAATGTAACACCCTTTTTTCCATTCCCAGATTACGCCCGATTTGAGGCCAAAATCCATGACCTACGAGAGCAGATGATGAACCACAGCATGAGCTCCGGGTCCGGGTCCCTGCGAACCAATCAGAAACGCTCCCTCTATGTCAGGTAGGCAACCCAGTGTTTCTTACTGTGATCTGCATTTTGTGAGCAATCTGGCTTCGCGAGACAAAGGCAACACCTTGTAACAATGGATCATGTGTTCTTATTTACCCATGCTCCTCAATACACCACTGTAAGACCTTAAGTTTAACCATTTTTTGAAGAAATTTCTGAAAAGTTACTATATTAAATTGACAAGTTAGTCTTTTAACAAATTATTATTTGACTATATTATGATCCGGAGTAAAGTTCTTAGAACAGGTTGCAGTAAAGATAATGAGAAAAAACATTTTTAATTTTGATAAATTGAATATGTGGACCAAAGCTCTGGACATTTGCTCACTTTCAGTTTGGGAAGTAAGCATTCTGGAATCATCTCCAGGCCTGTGTGGTATCTACTGCATTAACTTTGGTGTATTGATTTGATATCAGACATAGTCTTGTATATAGAGTTATGTGTTTGTCCCTAACAAATTTTGGTGGAAAGACTTTCTTCTGTGGCATCTTATTATCAATCATTTCTTGGACCACATAAGACACGTGTTCCTTGCCTGACAAAACTCATTAAATTACCAGAAAAAAAAATTGATTGAACTTAAAATGGCTTCTAGTCTTTCATCCTCATAGTTCACTCTTGAGTAAGATCCATCCTCACTCAACTATAACATGTGCTTCTTCTTAGCACAAGCCTCCTGTATTCCTTTCAAAATATCCTTCATTAGTGCTGACTGTATTTTTAAAAATAATAAAAGTATTAACAGCCAAAGGGGAAGGTGAATGGTTCAGATGAATCCAGGTTCTAATGGAAGAACCAAGTCTGTCCCTTCTCACTGTACTCTCCTCTTGCCAATCTGCCCCAGAATCTGGTCTGACTCCCACCTAAGGACATAGTCTACTCAGCTGAAAGTTTACTGTCTTTTCCTGGCATGGAGTGTGTGTTACAGACATTAAGTTATGTACTTGAATTGATTTTTTCCTGTTGACTCCACTTTGGCTATAAAGTTATCTCTTGTGTGTATTAGGTAGGCACAGCAGGGCCAAGGAGGGAGCAGGACTCCGGAAGGCGGCAGGTTCTCGAGGGCCTCGAGTTGCTGGCCACTCTGACAAGCATAGAGTCCCTTCTTATCCAGGCAGTTCCAGTACCTCAGAAGCCCTGAGATTTTAAATTTTTTTAAAGACAGAATATTAATGTTCCATATTTGTCCAACTGCGTTTTGGAAGATTATTTGGATATGCTTCTGTGTAATCTGTGGAAGGAACTATTGAGAACCACCCTAGAACGTGTCTTTTAGTGATGTCACAAACATGATGGAAAGTGGCTAAATCTGTTCTCCTCGCTTGTGTTTTATTGCTGGTCTTTGTGATACCAAATATTTTCTAAATTTTGAAATGTTTTGGTCTTGGGTTAGCAATTTGGGAAAGCCAATTAGGCTAATGGAATAGAGATAAATCAGTTAATGGAAATGAAATGATTATATGGAATAAACCTGGAAAGAAAAATTACTGTAGTGTGGGTATCTTGTCATAAAATAGAATGCACAAAATGTGAATGTATTAGAAGAAATTTTCTGAAAATATTGATGATAGTTTAGTCCTTTTACGTTATAGATTAGGAAATTAAATGACATGTTATTATATTACATAGACTTATTTGAAAGAGTAGTGTTAACCAGAATCAAACCTTTATTCTCTAATATGATCATTGAAATTGTGACATACAAGATATTTGAAGACTTCAGGTAATGTTATCTTGTTAACATTCTAATAGTTGGAGGTTGTATTGCTTTTAAATAAAGCTCAAAACTAGTGAACACTTCATGGAAAATTCTCCAAATGATTCCTCTACAATATACAAAAATGTATTTGGTTTCCAATGTCCGGCTATTAATACATATTTTATCTATAGATGGCTGACTGCAGCATCTAAAATGACTCCTAGGGGCATAGGATTAGAAAAGATACAGGCTATACATAGAATGGAAATCAGAGGGGAAAACAGCATCCCCTGGCCTTATTCTCATGTGATGTGACTAAAGCAAAGTCTCTTACCCCTAACAGCCCCAAAACAGGCAATAAAAGTAAATGAATTAGCAAGGCCTATGGGGAGTTCTTTCTAAAAATGATTGGATAAGCTTGTACCTTTGTTTGGATTTTGTTTTGTTTTGTTTTTTAACACCTTTTTGGCTATAGGACTTTTAAAGAGATGCTTGCTTTTTTCTAGTGTGCTTGAATAGGACTAGTGCCCGTTGGTTATGCTTATTTTATAAAATCAACTAGTTGCTTTCTCAAAATAAGTGAATAGCAGGGCTTCTCTGATTATATAACTATCAGATAATGAGCATGTCCCTTTGATCTTCTAATGACATCCTTTATTCTGCTTAGCTTTATGTAATTCTAGAGCTGGAAGGAACCTTAGCTATCACCAGGTCTAATGTTTAATTTACAGAAGAGGAAACTTGAGGCCCCAGGAAGGAAGAGATTTGCCCAGGACCCCACAGCTATGTGGTGGCAGTGAGATCTCCACCCGCCTCTCCCCAAGCCTCCCAGGGGCACAGCTGATGTGGATGGAGTCAGCTGTTGAATGCACCTCTGCTGTGATTCCCAATCTGCTCCTGTAAACACTGCACCTGACCCTTAGATTAGGAATAGGTTGCCTTAGAAGAGAAATTCAAACATAAATCTCTCTGGGTTTTTTGCAGAGGATAAACTATGCCACAGGGCATTTGGGATTCCTTTAGTATTTTCCATATTTTTCTATGAAGCAAAACCTAAATTGGAAAGCAAGCAGCTTCTTTGTTCAATTATAAACAATTAGGTTGGTTGAGCAGAATATTTTTCTTCCCTCCTCTCCCTCTCTCCCTCTCTCTCTCTCTCTCTCTCTCTCTCACACACACACACACACACACACACACACACACACACACACACACATCCTGCCCTGGCTGTGCCCAGGAGGTGGCATCTTCTCAGCATCATGCAGAAACTGGCCTTCTAAAGCAGTGTTTCCCAAACTTCTCTCGTGATGAGAATCACCTGGTGGAGTTGTTAAAATACAGATTCCTTAATCCCAACTAAGAAGTACTAAACTAGAATTTTTGGGAACATATAGTTTATAGAGAAGTTTGGGAAACACTGATCTAGAGAAATGATCCTCCCAGGTGATAGCAATTTGTTTGGCTGAAAGTGTTGGGGTAGGGGGGTGCTTGGACTACCACATCTGAGCCAGGCAGGGTTTTAAACTTGAGCCAACCCTCTCTGTTTCCTAATCTAGTTGTAACTATTTTCCTTCTCTTAACCTTCTGTGTAAGGTGCTTGAAGTGCTTTGGTAGTGCTGTACGCATGGAGTTGCTTGTTGCTAATGATAAGACTGTGCATGTTCTATGCGAATGATTTGGAAACATTCAATTTCATGGCCTACTTGTACTGTGTATTTCCTGCATTGTGAAACAGATATAGTTGTAGAACCTTGAACGTAAATAAAATGTTAAAAATTTTGAATAAAATATTTTTCAAAATGCTCCACAAGTACATTATCAATTCTTCAGACATAGATGCACGTGGGCTCTGGAGCCACAGGGATACAGCTTTTGTTGTGTGTACTTCGGGCGCTCCACAAGCCTATATCATATGCATTTCCCTTCTTCTCTCTCAGCTGGTAGAAGCATCCCTATGACAGAGAATAAGGCTTTTCCTGCTGCTGGTAGGAATGGGCCTTTGTGTCTAAATACTATTAAGAAAGGTCAAGGGCATAAGGGGATTAAAGTCACATAAAAGTGCAAATTGCTAAGGAAAGATCCTTTCTTCTGATAAAAGAGAGCTCAATAACCTGTGGCAAGGGAAGAGAATGGGGAGGGGAAGAAAGGAAAGCAGGTAAGTCTTCCAATGGGGAATAAAAGGTCACAGGAAAGGCTGTGAAAGGGAAAGTTGGCCCATGTCCATGTCTTAATAAAAGGTATTGATTTGGAGAGTTCAAGTGAATAACCTCTCTGTTGTGAATTTGGTTCTAAAAGGTAGTTGCCATGATTTATTTATATATTCATCGAGCACTTTTTTTTTTTTTTTTGAGTTTATATTCTGAGCCAGGACTTATAATGGACACTGAGGACCCAGCAGTAAAAGTCGTGTTCCCTGGCGGGGGGGCGAGGGCGGGGAGGGGGGAGGAGAAGAATCAGGTCTAGTGAGTGAGACAGGTCACAGTGCAGTGTGATGTGAAAAGCAATCTCTAGAAAAGCCTGGAATTTTTATTGCTTCCTAATTAATGCAAGGATATCTGAATTGATTCTTTGCTGTCTTAGATGAGTTCACCCAGAGATCTTTACAAGTGTTTTTACTCAAAATAAGAAATACATTCTTCATTATCATGACCCAGTCAATATATGTACCATACACATAATGCTAAAAGAAATGTTTTTATTAAACTATTAATACTATTTATGTACTATGTTCTTTGTTATGGCCCATTCTATTTGCCTCCTTTTTAAAAAAAACAAATGAAGGTCACATCTCATTAACTTGATTTCATAACTCACGAATGGGTCACTACCTACAGCGTATAGAGGAGTGAACACAACTACAGGGTCATCTTCACTGCAGTACACTTAGCATCCTTGGGATCCCCAGACTCGGGGTGGTCTAGCCAATTAGGGAGCTGGTTATCCCTGATACTGATGAGTAAGTAGAAGTGAAGGGAAGCATTGGCTGGGCATCTTCTATGGGTCAGCCATTATGCTATTGTTCTACATATATGTTCCCATCTGATTCTCCCAACAACTGGAAGAGTCAGGGACTATTTCTTCCATCTTATAGATTAAAAAACTGAGACTGAGAGACATTAAATACATGCCCTAAAATCACCGAGCTAGACTGGATATGAGCGTAAACATGCAGGTCCTGTGTGTAAGGCAACATGGAGTAGTGTTAAGAACACGGTTCCTGGATTCTGTCACTTACTAGCTCAGTGATTTTGGGCAAGTTGGCCTCTCTATCTTAGTTTCTTTTTCTGTGAA